TCAAAGTAATGAAAATCATCTCTATTTCTGTAATATGTTTTCCATTTTATCACCTAAGACCATGAAAACGCAAATACATCGATAAATACTGTACGAAAATACACCTCAAAGTCGGCGTTTTATTCCAAAAAAACGATCAGTTTTTTTTTTTCTCATTACGCACTGTGTGCTGCAGGATTTTTTTTATGTGGTGCACACTGACCACACAGACCCATTCTCTCACATGTGGGCCTACCAGCTTTCTTCCGCTTGATTTGAAGCCGCTAGAATTATTGAGTATATATACGTCTGAAACACTGGCTCGTAAGACGTATATATACGACCAAAACAGTCAAAGGGTTAAACTGTCCAAAAGTAGATCTACGTTAACGTGTGTAGTGCTCCAAATGTAGATCTACGTCCGATTTTACATGCTTTCAAATGGAGAAAACAAGGTCGGAGCGCTACGCACGTCAACATAGATCTACGTTTGGACAGTTTAAGGGTTAAATAATTTGGTAATCTCTGTTTTCAGTAGCAATGTATCATAATTAGTTAGTTCAGGTGATCTTTTAACTTCAGTTGCTATTAGCTGATACGTAATATGGGAATTTTATGAAGACAAGTAAAATTCAAAGTTTGAATCAGTATTGCTAAATTACTCTTTATAGTCAAGCCTCTCTCAACACTGGTGCAAGGTACAGTAGGATTACATTCCAATCACCTCCAAATTTGCCAAACAAAATTTGTTTACTAATGTACATACTTCTAGGTGAAAATTACTACAGCACTTACACTTACTTTACAGTCTGATATTGGTTTCTTTTTGAAATATAAGAGTGTGGAGGGGGTTGTTGTGGGCCCACTGGGTTGAGGTGGATGACTGTGACTCTTGTGTTGATTTGGATTCAGAGTTATACACAAATAAAACCCACACATGGGACTGAAACTCATGACGACAGATAGGGCCCTAGTCATCCATGCTGATGTGTTACACCAAATAATGGGAAAGAAGATTTTGTCTTCATCTTTTAATGCACAATGATTCTCTGCAGAATATATAAGCATAGTCTTGTATTTGAAGTTATTTGTTGCATTTTTTGGACAGAAACAAGTTGAAGCCATTTTTCACTGCTGTGAAACCTCATAGTGAATGTGCATTCTTGATGGCATACACTTCCAACACAGTCCAATTTCATCATCATTAAACACTTGATCAGGACTATAATTATTCTCAGAAATAATTTCTGCAAAGTCTGCAAGGTGACTTGCATGGCTACACAATCAGCTGCTTCATTCTGATATGCTTTTCAAAAATTTTCAAAGCATCCAGCACTAAACATACACTGTTATGAAGGCTTTCCTGCCTTCTCACATGCAGCTTTATTACTATTAGGATAGGACTTTATGCCTAATCTGAGCAGTGAGTGGTGCCCTATCCTTGTTTTTTCTTCAGTTCACACATTCCCCTTATTTTGCTATATTGACCTTTTTGACAGTTTTTGGCAGTGTGTGATATGTCCTGCTTATTTAACAAGCTCTTAGTGTCTTTTATTTCTTTAATAGTACAAATGGTCAATTTATTCACACCAAAAATATGAGCAATTTCTATCACATTTGCTCCACCTCCACAGAATTGAGCTCTCAATTTTAGTGGAATATGATGATATGGAAACCTGTTTTGGAGAGCATTGACTTTTTTAATGCTTTACAGCAGTTGCTATCAATATTTTCCTGTGGTCAGAATGATTTGGTTGTGCTTTCCAGTTGCAACAAAATTGTGCAGGGTGAAGTCATGTTGCAAAAGAACTTTAAATGATATAATTTTTTGTATTTTTCATTTTTATTTTAAAAATATATGCAAGGTGAAATTAAAGTATTTTATGAAATGCCTTGTTAACATTTTAAATTTAGAAACTAAGAGCTGTTATCCTATTTTGGCATATTTCAAAGTCTAGCAGTATCTGTCTGTTGTATATTTCAGTATTTAGATTGTAGCTCTGAGCAGTGAGCTAATTAACCCTTAAACTGTCCAAACATAGATCTACATTCGCCTGCCTGGCGCTCCGAATATTTTGAAAAATAATTTTTTTTTTTTTAAATTAAAGAGGGGTATTTTCTGTGTGGTATAAGACCAAAAAAAAAAAAAAATTAGGACCAGTACTTACCGAGATATAAGACCAGGAAGTTGGCTCTGGATGCTCACCTGGCGGCAAAATCCAGTCCTGCGGCTTGCAGAAGTGTTGCCGATTTGCCTTTTTTTCTCGTTTTTATTTTAATTTATATAATTTTTATGTTCTGATAATTACAATTTATAATAGTTCTTGTGATTTCATAGCTAATCTTTGTTCTGACACTAATATTATGTACTGAAATAATACTCAAATTGTAACAAATCACACTGACAGTTGAACATTTTCACCTGCCCTGGTCATTTACTATTGTCTAGAAATATATACAAAGTATTTATAGGTCCCAGCAATGTTTTAGACATGCTGGAGTATGAACCTCCTTGAAGCATGGTGTTATGACAAGGGTCAGAATGTGCCCTGCTGGAGGGAACCTTGCCTTTATAATTTTTTACTCTTGCACACAAACATGCCTTTGTATGTCTGTCTGTCAGTGTATCTGTTTGCCTGACTATCTGTCTGCCTGTCTATCTATACATCTATGTCTGTCTATCTGTACATCTATCTGTCTGTCTGTCTGTCTACCTGTTTCTCCTGGTTCTGCTTATCTGTGTGTCCAGTTCAGCTTATCTGTCTTTCTGTCTTCTGTGTGTGCCTGGAGTGTAATATGAGCTCCTTGAATAATTGTGTTATGACAGCATCAGATAACAGTGACATTTGATGAATGGGTGCTGCTGGAGGGGAAACCTTGCCTTTATATGTTTTTACTCTTGCACACAAACATGTCTCTGTATGTCTGTCTATCAGTCTCTGTCTATCTGTACATCGGTCTGTACATCTGTCTGCCTGCCTAGCTCTGCTTATCTGTCTGTCTAGTTCTGCTTATCTTTCTGTCTGCCTGTGTGTGTGTGTCTTTCCATCTGCTTGTCTCTGTCTCAGGGAGCGGCTATCTATGGAGGCAAAGAAGGGAATGTATGAAAGTATAGTAGTACCAACACACTTATATGGGTGTGAAGCTTGGGTTGTGAATGCAGCAGTGAGGAGGCAGTTGGAGGCAGTGGAGATGTCCTGTCTAAGGGCAGTGTGTGGTGTAAATATTATGCAGAAAATTCGGAGTGTGGAAATTAGCAGAAAGTGTGGAGTTAATAAAAGTATTAGTCAGAGGGCTGAAGAGGGGTTGTTGAGGTGGTTTTGTCATTTAGAGAGAATGGATCAAAGTAGAATGACATGGAGACCGTATAAATCTGTAGGGGAAGGAAGGCCGGGTAGGGGTCGTCCTCGAAAAGGTTGGAGGGAGGGGGTAAAGGAGGTTTTGTGGGGGAGGGGCTTGGACTTCCAGCAAGTGTGCGTGAGCGTGTTAGGAGTGAATGGAGACGAATGGTATTTGGGACCTGACGATCTGTTGGAGTGTGAGCAGGGTAATATTTAGTGAAGAGATTCAGGGAAACCAGTTATTTTTATATAGCCGGACTTGAGTCCTGGAAATGGGAAGTACAATGCCTGTACTCTAAAGGAGGGGTTTGGGATATTAGCAGTTTGGAGGGATATGTTGTGTATCTTTGTAGGTATATGCTTCTAAACTGTTCTGAGCACCTCTGCAAAAACAGTGATTATGTATGAGTGAGGTGAAAGTGTTGAATGATGATGAAAGTATTTTCTTTTTGGGGATTTTCTTTCTTTTTTGGGTCACCCTGCCTCGGTGGGAGACGGCCAACTTGTAAAAAAAAAAAAATCTACAAACACTGTATAGCACTTGGCCTGGAATTTTTGGGTTATCCTAGGTAATTTACATTATGTATAATTGTATTTATGAGTACATCTGAGAGACAGATATACAAATAGACAGTGATAAAGACAGACAGAGATATAGACAGATACAGAGACAGCCAAAGCCAGCCAGCTAGCTAGCCGAATACATAACATAAGAAAGAAGGAACACTGCAGCAGGCCTACTGGCCCATGCAAAGCAGGTCCATGTCACCCCCCTGGCTTAGCCCAGTGACCCACCTAGTCAGGTCACATCCACTGAAAGAAGGAGCATGACATCTGACCTAGTAGCACAAGCTAGTCAGGTCCAACTCACACCCACTCATGCATTTATCTAACCTATTTTTACTTTCCTCTTAAAATGTGAGTGTTAATATGACATGACATCAGTGAATCCTTGGTGTTTGCCACAATATTTGCTCTAGCTGGCGCTCCGTTGAACTGGTGCTCCCACAAGGGACTAAGTGCTCCCAGATTTTTTCTTAGTGCGCACACTGAGTGCACAGACCCATTCTTTCATGTCTAGGTGACTCAGGCCTATCGCACCAAATTTGAAGGAATGAAAAATAAAACGTTGATCTACGTTCGGAGCCTGGCCCCACGTGAACGTATATCTACGTGTGGACAGTTTAAGGGTTAAGTCTGTTACTCGCTGTAGACTTTGTTATTGTTAGAATAGATATTGTCATTTTATTACTAGACTCCTCCAGATATTGAAATATAATTTTGTACATGAAGATTTTTAAGAAATTTCCCAAGTTCTGCAGATGAACAGTTATAAACCAGTCATACATATTAAACACATCTTAAATAAGTTACTTATTCATTTGAATTTTGAAAGACTTAGATTTTTTTTTAATGCTTGATTGTAATTAATTAATGAAATGTTTCAAGTCTAAAATTTGCCTTGTAATAACGAATTTACAATTGCCTCTCATATATTTTAATGAGTTTTACTTTCTAATAGGAAATCCATGAATAATGTTTCTTGTATAACTGTTCTTGACTAACATTTTTGTTTATTATTATTGTAGACTAACATTTAAAATCAGTAACCAGTGTTAACTATTAAAAATACAAATGTAGCACATGTAACTAGAGATAACACGAATGGTCATTGTACAGGTACTATATGACAGTATCAGATGACTCAGCTGATGAGATGTATGCTTGCATATATGAGGGTACAAGAGGGGTTGGCAGTGAAACGTATGCACAAATTGAACCACGTTCTACGCCACCACCACCACCACCCCCAATGCCTAGCCCTCCACATGCTCCATCTACCCCTTCGCCCCTCTCCACACGAGGTGGATCACAGCCCCCTCCTGCACCACCCAGTGTTGACAGTCTTCGCCATGTTGTACATTCCAGACAAGGTGAGTTTGAACCAGCCATTAGATAAACCTTTCTTATAGCAGAACTTTCCCATCTTCATTAATTGTTCCTTGGCTGTGCTTTCAGGTACTGTATTTATAATCAGGTTTCATTAATTTCTAGGACTGGTAGCAATTAAGTATGTTAATTCGCCGTATTTATTCTTTACTTGTGCATACAAATTTATTACATTAAATTATAGTAGTTTTACTTGTGCATACAAATTTATTATGTCAAATTATAGTAGTTTTCTATTACTAGTATCCTAATTCCATAGTGGAAGATTAATTTTGTTAAATTAATAATTGGAAGTACTATACTGTATCTACAGTGTTACTGCTACAGTATACCAGAACACTGTGATGCAGTGTCAGTGTTACTGCTGCAGTATATACCAGAAC